CTGCTGTGCAATGATGGTTTGCTTTGGTAGACATGACACTTAGTCATATTGTTATGCCATTTGAGGTTTGCACCCTAGTACTAGACACTGGCATACTAATATAATACTGGTTACTATTGCTACTATCCTTCATTTTCAGTCCATGATCATTCATTTCTGACTAACTTTAGCAAGTCAGCAACCAGCTGGTGGATTATACAACTGGGTGGTGGAGTAGGAGAAGAGGGAGAATGATGGTGATGATGGTGATGAGCACCAGGAAGTCTGAAATAATCTATATATAGAACAAGGAATGTATAATTTTTGCTCACTTCTCGAATATGTGATGCTAGTGGTTCCACTTTTGAATACCAATACAAATGTGGTTCATCTGGGGAAGAAATCATTTTATTTGTTGGAACTGAAATAATGACATAAACTAAAACTGTTTAATACTATGTGTCGCTTTCTTTTCATCAGAATTCCACAAACCTTCAATCACATAGATCTTATGAACGCCCATGTAAATTACTAATGCAAACCAAATTTTTAGCTCATTCAATATTAATGGTTTCCAAGAGCGACCACCCTCACTGCCTTTTATTTGTTCATACTTATTAGTATTCTCGACTATTGTCTGTAGTAAGGCACTAGAAAAAAACAACTCGAAAAGTGCAAGTGTCTTAACAGAATCTAGCTGCAAGTCAGACAGTAATGTTACATGACATCTGCTAAGTCCACGAGTATTTTGCATAGGCTCAAACACAGATAGTTCTGGGAGTACTAATACTGGTTGTGAAGGAGTATGTACATCACCTTGATTCCCACCTCTTCTCCCACCTCCTCTCCCCCTTCCCCTACCCCTTCCTCTCCCCCTTCCTCTCCCCTTCCTCTCCCTCTTTGTTGAACTCTTACATCACTATTATTGTTTTGTTCATCTTCAGAACTATTATTAGTGTGTGCTTCTGGCTCTGGTTCATGTTCATATTCCACAAGTATGTCATCCTCACTGAAATCCGTTTCTTCATGGTGCTGACTCTCTAAAGTAACTAAGTATTGTGTGTCAGATATGACTTCAGAGTTGGTGGGGTGAGACTTTTTTTCAATAATATTATTTACCAGAATGTTAACTAACAGCTTACAACATTAAACGTGTGGGTATTATAATGTTTATTAGCTCCATCAGCAATTGATCGATAAAATATACATACTTAGGGTTAGTGATCGACATGCGATCTGCAAACAAACAAGGCTATATTTGCCGACTCGCGCAACTTGTGGTCATGTAACTTTGCATACTAATAGCTGTGATTCCAAGGTTTCTGGCGAACTATATATGTTGGGGGTATTTACTTAGTGGCATCAGGTGATATAAAGCGATTTTGTTGGTGAATCAAAATTGTAGGCAAATTTGCTGACAATACAGTTTAAGGGATAATAAATTCTATCTGATATAGTAATAGTGTATTTACTAATTAATTTTGGTATAGTGGATTTTGAGAATTTTTTGTAATAGATTTTTTTGATACACTATAAAGAGACTCACTGTGTATATCATCTTTTTTTTTATGCCATCCTGGTGACTCATTTCTTTCTGGCACCCCTTTCTTCAAAGCAATTTTAATTATTGCTATAAACGATTTTGAACTTGCTGTCCTCTTTGTCATCACCCAGCCTCATCACTTCATTGACTAGTCTTTTTTGGATTTCCAGAGGTGGGCAGTTTGCACCTGATGGTGAGTCTCAACCTCAAAGAGATCTTGCATCCCCTTATTGTTTTCTGCCATGATTCTTATTAGAGATGCTTTTTTTGACTGGTGCTGGTGTGTGTCTAGTGCAGAATATATTGCTGAAGTAGAAGGAGGTGGGCATATGTGTTGTATCCCTCAGTGGGATATTTGACTTTGAATATGAGCAGTGCCAGATGATATTGATTCAGATGCTGCCTTCTGATCACTTCTTTCTAGTATGGCATTGTCCACCATGATAAATGCCTCTGTTGACAGGGTCATCTGACTTCTCACTGTTGTTTGCAGGAGTGGCCATCTGTCAACATTCCACACCTCCTCAACCTCAACACATGGCTGAACATGTCCACAGGTTAAGGTAGCAAGTTGGTGCTTTTTGTGTATGTGAGAGATTGGTTGAGCCCCTAATACTAATATACCAATAGTAATAGGCAAGAAAGAGTTAATGAATGTAAACATTTATATAATACATTACATTCTCATATAAAAATAAGATTCCCACCTGTGGCTTTGTACAGACCATGACCTTTACATTATATAAGTCTTTCTTTTGATCAATGATTCAGTGTTCACAGTTTCAGTCATTTGATTCTGTGGTGTGGTATAGAGTATGAGCTTGATGTTGAGACTCAGTGTTCATGATGTGATGGTGCATGTGGTATATGGTGTGGTTGCTAGATAGGTATATATATGCACAATTGTGAGTGCCATAATAATAACTGGAAAACATGAGAATGAGCATGTGCACATAATGTTTGATGTGTACCATTGCCCCAAACCTACTAATAATTGTCTATTCATTTCATCATCTTTAAAATTTATCAGTTGTGATGAATCACTAAAAGTCAAAAATTGTGCCACTTCCCTCTCCTCTAGATCACTATCCTTAAAAGGAAGAGTACTAATTTTCAAAACCCTTCTCCTATCAAAAATTTGGTATTATGCCACTCTTTGCCCTCCTCCTCCTAACATAATCACCTCTCTTCAATCCATTATCAATAACTTTATCTGGAACAATTCCAAAATTCATCCAAGATTTGAGATAGCCTCCCTCCCAGTTTCTCAAGGTGGTATCTCAATTCCAGATATTAAACTTGAACTTCGAATAAGGCATGCCAAATTAATTTCAAAAACTTTTGATACTCTTCCTCCATTTTGGTGCAAGGCTCTCAACCAATTCACCTTGTCCAAATTTTCCCAATCCCTTCCTTCATGTAGCACTTATTTTCCTATTGAACCCCTCTGATCATGTCTAAATGCCTCTAAACTCATTCAACAATTCTCTCCATCAACTATTTTTAACTCCCCCTCTTCCTACTCTTCACTCCATTCTTACTTTATCCCCTCTCCTCCTTATACTCCATACTATCCATCTCCTAAATTTCTTCATCTTTCTTGGAAAGAAATCCACCACAAAGACTACCCTCGCAAAATTCAAGATCTCTTTTGAAAAATAGCCCACTTCTGTCTCCCTATTGGCATCTCTGTCTCTACCATTTCTCCTTATTCTTCTTTCTGTCCTTGGTGTCCAGATACCTCTAATTCAATCCCTATTAGCTTTTTCTTTATATACTCTCACCTGTGAAATCTGCCACCTTCTCATTCCTTCTTCCACACCCTCATTCCTTATATCAAACTCTTCATCTTCTAACATAAAACAAATAAGTCATCTCATTTTTTCATCTTTTATAGGATCTTTATTGGCAACTACAGAAAACTGCTAAAGCTGCTTTAGACAGCAAGTACATATACATGACTAATACTAAGCTGAATCAATAAAGAAACTTGGCCTATTGCCTGGTATTTATGGGGTAATATATATAGATGGGGGAGGAGGA